CCACACATGCTGAGAAAAAAAATCAATGGGGCGTCTTGTATATTTAAAGTTGGATATCTGAATAGCTCTTGTCTTCGTGGAGGAGAACCTCATTAGCGCTGAGGGCTGCAGAGATCGCGGGGCTCGTTCCCGTCACCTCCCGGTGCCTCGCCTCCCGCCTCTCCACACTTACTCTGAGTGCTTTTTTAAATTTTATTTTATTTTATTTTATTTTATTTTATTTTATTTTATTTTATTTTATTTTATTTCTAAGCAATACCTAGTTCTGTTCTAGACCAACAGGTTTGAAACACTCCCTTAGGTTTAGCCGCAGGACCAAACCTTGCTCGCTGAGGACAGGCTGTCCCTCCTTGGGGACACAGCCCCGCGGAGCGGCGTCAGGTCTCCGCACCGCTCCTAACGCCCTTCAGGTCTTTGGGTTTCCACTTTGGTCGGCCTTAAGCCAGGCAGTGCTGAATCTTTATGCATTTTTGCTGCTCAATCTGTTCCTGAGCTCTCTCTATATTGTTTCTGTGTAAAGCCTCTTTAGTCCCGTGTAGAAGAAAAGGGAACTTTGCTGTTTGGTTTTTTTTCCCCACAGTTAGGGCTTTCAATTCCTTCCAGTTGTCCATTTTCTCCCGTGGGATATGTTCAGTATTTACTGCAGCTAATAAATCAAATTGTTCTTAGAATCAAGATGGCCGCTTCCCTTCCCTCTGCTGTTCAGGCGCTTTGCGTTCTGCAGGCAGGTTTCCTGGATTATAACTTTATTTTATTAGAGTGCTCACTCCATTTTTCTCTTCCCATAAACATGTGTCAAGGAACAACGTTTGCCTTTATGGTGCCTATTCAAGAGCAAACTCAACGGTTCAAGGAAAGTATTTACTGAAGGCATTGAAAAGCACGTACCTTTGCATTATTTATTATAAGATACCAATAACTGTAAAGCGCAGAGTATCTCTGGACATAAATTAGTGATGGTAGGAAACACTAGACTCTTCCCAGTGTCCCGGAACCTATTAGAAACTGCAGCAAAGATGCAGGCGCCCGTCACGTCCCCAGTGCCGGGGGTACCCGCATGGGTCCCAGAAAAGAGGCAGAGTAAAGCGGTGGCGGCAGAAATCCAGCGTGTAGCCTGCTTTTTCCATCTCAGACGGGCGGTGAAACATAATCAGTGGAGCGTGTTACCTGGGAGATGCAGTCAGGGAACCCAAATTCTTCCCGCGTGATGCCTGTGGGCATCAGAGCCCCGGGGCTGGCCGGCGGGACGCGGGACGGGGCTGGCCGTGCCGCCTGCCGCTGCCTGCGGGGACGCCCCGCTGTGCCGGCCCGGGGATGCTCACCCATAGCCCGTGCGCCTGGGTTCGGACCAGACTCTCCGGAGTATCTTCCTCTCACTTTTTGGCCCTCCTGGGGTATTTGGAACAGGCTGACCCCGACCTTCCTCCCAGAGGCGGCTCTGCCGCAGCCACTGGAGTTCGTATGCAAGAGAGGGGTCAGGGTCAGCCACTCCACAAAATATTCCGGTTTCCCGCAGAAATCCTGCTAAATACTGTCCGTGCACCAAAGGAAGCTGACCGGCGCAGTCCGTACGCACCCGGCAGGGCCAGGCTGCCTCGGGTGCCGCGCTCAGGCTCAGGGAGATGGGCACGGTCCCGAGTTTGGGTTAATTATGGGTGTTTCCGCAGTCTGAGCTTTACTTTTTGGAGCAGGTTCTCATTTCACATGCTACACCTACAGAATTATTTAATAGGGCTGCTTAAAAACCCGCCCGCTTACCAATTCACTCTCCTCACTTTGTCCCAGCACATTACCTAACCATGTAAACATATGGATTTTTTTTTATCTTACTGCCCCATGTAGACAGCCTTATCAGGCTATTTATAAACCTGGGGAGGCTGCGGCAGCGGTATTGGTTTCAGCACTTGATGTTCTCTCTGTGCTAATAAATACAGATCAGCTATTAATACCGATGGGTTTTAGGATCCATTAGCATCGCTTGGCACAGGGACGGTCAGCGCTGCCGCCCCGCCTGACCCGAGCTCTGCCGGGCGTTTCTGGCTGGCGTCGCCCTTGCCACCCTGGGAGGTGACCGGGGAGAGGGATGTCCCTGGCCCCGTGGAGCACGCCGGGGCGGCGGGGGAGAAGGACCGGGGCGAGCCAGCGCCTGTCCTGCTGCTCTGGGAGCCCGGCTGTTGTCACCTCCTCAGAGAGTGGCTCTGTTAACTGCTGCCGGCAGGCACTGGGGGAAGAAAAATCAGGCAGCATGTTTCAGCAAAGCTGCGTGTTCCTCAATGATTTCCCCTGGGAAGCGTTCCCCCATTTCTGGACCAGCTTGCGAGGAGCATTGTGCAGGGGGAGCCTGTCGTGCCGCGTAACGCCGAGCCTGGTTTCATAGCATCATAGGACCATTTCGGTTGGAAAAGACCTTTCAGATCATCAAGCCCAACCAAGTCCAATCATTTCAGCAATGCTTCCGAGTTTGCTGATGGAAAACGCAGTTGTTGCAGTCTAAGAACCCGCTGTGAGGCGGTGATGGAGGGGATGGAGCTGCGGCCGGTGGCCATGCGGGGGCTACGGGGTGCCTGGGGCAGGCTGCAGGCAGGGGGAGATGCTTTGCTTGCCCTCCAACCACGTGCAGTTGCTGGATGGCTTCGGAGCAAAGGCTGCCTGGGGCTGCCTGGATGTCCGCGTGGTCTGGGGATGCGTGGCGAGCTGATTGCTGACGAGGGCCGGGGCCTGAGCGGCAGGCACTGCTGCCGGGGCATCTCAGAAAGATGTGGTTTCAATTATTCCCATTGTTTTCATACCTTTCCAACCAGACCACACGGAAGCGCAAACCAACAGAGAGGTAGAATTTGGGACGCGCTGGGTGGCCTGGTTATTGCTACGCGAGACCGTAAGCAAAGGGCTCACTGCAGGGGTTCGGAGTTCATCGCAGGTGGCTGAAGCTTGGCAGCTGCTGCAGCAGTGGGCAGGAACCACAAATAAATCGGTAAATGGTTAAAAAGTGGCCACAGGGGTCTCTTTTGGGGGAAAATGAGCGAAGAGGAGGTTGGGCTGGATGGTGGCAGTTTGTGCTGTAGGACAGGATTTTCCCCCAGTGGTGGTCACACGAAGCTGCTGCCACGGCAGCTTTGACCAGGGTTTGCTTTGGGGTGTTTAAAGCAATAAAACTCCTGTACAAATGTTAGACCTGGCTGTGAGGGAGGTAGGAGATGGCAGAGGTAGAAAGACGAACCCTTTGGGGGATGGAGAAGATGAGCGTGGGGAGCGGAGCAGCTCCCCCCGGGGCAGACGGAGCAGAGCCAGGAGCGGAGTTCGACCTGGCGCCCTCCCCTGCGGCGGGGCTTTACCCGTCCCGCGGCGTCCCCGGGCGTACCGCCACACCTCTCCGGCCTGCGACGCCTTCGGGCGGAGGATCCGCTGGCGCGGGGGCTGCGAGCATCCCTCCGGCCGGGCCCCGCCGACAGGGGGCGCGGTGTTTGGAATGGCAGATCAAATAGGCTGTCTGTCCCAAAATAGGGATAGATTTATTCTAAATGCACGCACAGCAGTTTCCAGTTGTATTTCCTCTGTCCCGTACATCACCCAGGGGACGGAGTTTACATTACGGAATAGCGGCCTGCACAGTTTTGTCAAAAAATAGCAATCTGCAGTTGTTATATGCGACGGCACACGAGGACTTTCTGCAGAATTAATCTTTGTCTTGGCTATTGAGGGGGGAAAAAAGGATGCGCTGTGCATTTTCTTTGCTGGGCTGATGCCAGATGAGCTAAATTGTTCATCCTAATGCTGCTGGAACAGAAGGGCAACGTGTTTCTCAGGGGGTGGCTTTACAAAAAGTGTGGGAAATCTCCAAGTTGTGCCCTGCCCAGAGATGGCAAGTGAGTTCGAGGGCTCTGTCTGCGGGGAGCTCTGTTGGGGGGAGCGCTCCGATCGCCTAGGAATTCAGCACCCGAATGCCTCATGATCAGGGGCCCATCCAAAATAATTTATGAAAATGCAGGTCTTTGGGATGCGAGCACCGCCTGCGTGCCCGGAGCGGCCGGGGGGTCCGCGGGCAGCCACACGCATCCTGACGCTCCCTTTCTCTCTGTCTCTGCCCACCCCTTCCCCAGCCTGCAAACGCAAAGAGCAAGAGCCGAACAAAGAGCGGAACAACTCCCAGAAGAAATCTCGCCTGGTGTTCACGGACCTCCAGCGCAGAACGCTCTTCGCCATCTTCAAGGAGAACAAGCGCCCCTCCAAAGAAATGCAGATCACCATCTCCCAGCAGCTGGGCCTGGAGCTCACCACCGTCAGCAACTTCTTCATGAACGCCCGGCGGCGCAGCCTGGAGAAGTGGCAGGACGACCTGAGCTCCGGGGGCTCCTCCTCGGCCCCCAGCACCTGCACCAAAGCGTGACGGGGAGCGGCCGGCGCGGCGCGGCCCGGCGGGGGGAGCGGCTTTCCACGGGGGGCCCCC